TATCTCTGGGTCTGGAGGCCTAAGTGCCTAAGCTTTCCATCAGTTTTAGTAGGACCATTTTAAAATCCAAAATGTGACCAAAGAACATTTGTATGACCCTTACATTAAATAAGCATTTTCATTTTTACATACCTAAAATAAAAAAGAGATGATTAAATGTAGTAAGAAATAAATGAACCTTTTGTATGTTAAAAATATGAAAACTTCTTGTAATACTCAAAAGTCTATAAAAGATAATTTCATGCAATAAAAAATATTAACAGTAAAAATAATCTTTATTAGGCATGCACAAATATATTTAAATCATTTATTGCATTTTGGAAGAGCGCTGAGGTGACGTTGGGCTACTGTGCTAAAATATCTGCATTTTATTTATTGTACTGCATTTGCAACCAATATGTTGTTATGTTTCTCCATAATGCTAATCCAGATAGGTGCAGTCCCAATTTCTACACTTCATAAATGTCTATGATTCAGCATCAGCAGATATGTATAAGAAAAATGCTGAATATTGGCATTGGCCCATGAGTCCCAAATCAGGGCATTCCTAATATTTACATTAAAAACATAATGGATGTGCACCAATGTTCTCATCTCTGCAGTATTTCTGGCTTCTTGGTGAAATGTTTAAAAAAAGAAAAAAGTTTATTCTCCCAGTCTTCATAGTTAGCAAAAGATCATAGATAAGTTACTCTCCGTAGATTTACAGCTAATACTTCTAAGCTACCCATTCACAAAATGATCAGTCATCATTATCGCAACTGATACATGTTCAAAATGTGAAGGAATGAGTCGCCGAATAAGAATGCAAGAGTCACAGTGGCTCTGCTACTGTAAAACTTCATTGTTAGGTTGTCTCATTCTCACAATTATCTATTCCATTACTGCAAAATGCAAATTCTCATTACTGCAACTACATAATCTTACTTCAGTAATGAGAATATGCACTATTTTGCAGTTATTTTTATAAATATACATCTTTTTTCAATTCATAATTGACCAGATTTTACAGAATTATATATGCCTGGCATGCCTATGTAATATATATGTATGTAATATGCCAAAGTTTGGGTGCCCCTGATCAAATTTCATGTTTTAAATTTAAAATAATTTAACATGTCTTCCACAGAGAACACACTTCTATAATTTTTTATGCACAATTACTGTTCATTTGCTGAACGTGAACATATTGGAAAAAATAAAACAGAAAATTTCATATTGTATTCATTACTTTTTTTTACAATATGTTAAACTCAAATAAACTGAAATTGTGCACCAAATTTGCAGAAAATGCCACATTTATGTTTGCTCCCTGTAGGGCTGTTTAAACTTTTGAATATATGTTTAAATAAACAGATTTCATTTTCACTTGACTTGACAAATATATGAAAAACATAGTATATATCAAGGAAATACTTGTTCAACAACACCAACAACAATGATAATATGGGCAGGTTGAACATGCTGATTTGTGAGAATTACCCAATTGGCCTTATGGCTAATTTGGTTGGGAAGTATTGATTTGTTCCTCTCATCTGTCAGTCTGTATTGGTGCTGGGAATCTGCCAGCTCACGTATACAAACCAGTCAGTCAGGACAGTCAGCACTCCCCTCCAACTGTGTTCAGCTGCTATATAACCAGACGTTCTATTATATAGGGGGTGTAGGGGTGGCTTCACCTGTCTCAGAGGAAGCATACATTTGCCTGTACCCTTCCAGATTAGTTGATCCCTTTTAATAGGGAACAATTTGTCAATGACTGGGAAATCTTTGGACTCCTACCTCTGGTGAGTTAAGTAGGCAAAATAAATAAATAACATTAAAAATAAGTTTGCTTTCTTTCTTATGTGTTTGTTGACTGACATGCATTACATCTCCAGTAACATCTGTTGAATCTTTGTTGACTTTGTGCAGTCACTTTGTTATAAATGTGATGTATACATGAATCCAAACCTAATGACTGTGCTGTCCTCACACAAACACAACACTGTCCAAAACAGGTCCTGGAATATTACTTTGTGGTTGAATGATGGATGCGAGACAGAAAAGAGTTCCTAAAATGGTCATACTTTGGCACTCCAGGACTGCAGATGGCGATATGCCACCAAACACTGGCATCACAGCTGTTCAGAGCATTAAGGAAATAGAAAATTTAGTGTCCTCTTCTTTACAGTTTAGGAACTATAACATAGTTAAAACGGATTTGAGCTGTGTTTGAGGCCATTGTCAACCACTGTCCATGCACGTTTTTCCAGTTTCCTAAATGTCTGGACAAAGGCAAGGAGTCTGAGTTTCCCCACACCTGTTTGGGGTCTTGTAGCAGCTCTATAATGTCAAAAGACACTGTTTGGCCTTTTTTATTTTTATTTAAGTTCAGTGGCTCCAAGAAGTATTTGCGCATTTTTGTCCACACTTAAAAATGCATTAAGTTCTAGGGAGCAAAATGTAAAACCAAGTGGCATTTATTTTGAAACAACCCATACCAAGACTGTAATTTTCTTTTTGGCAAAGTATTCTTCCGAAAGGCAGTTGTTGTGTTATTTCTTCGCAGACTGAAGGTTCACATCCAAAATGCCACTTCTGAGTTCAACGTGATCCCATGAACGCAAGCTCACCGGCACTACTGTAAGTAAAACAGCCTCAGGCTTTGACGTTTCCACCACTGTGCTTCATAGAACCCTTAGTGCCGTTTGATTAGAATTCTTCTACCATCAGTTTGATGTTGTGTTAAAAGTGTAACTTAAAGAATTTCATTAAAGTTTGCCAATGATTAAATGGTAAATGTTTTGGGGCCACTGTATCCAATAATGAAAATACTAAAAGTGAAATAAATGAAGAAGATGAAGTTAATGAAGTTAATAAAGTTAAAAGTCTGGAGGTTTTAGAACTTAGTAGTGTTATTGACCTACTCCATAAGTAACAAAGAATTGGCAGCACTTTAAAAAAAGGGGTTCTTTAGTAAAGTGGACAGTGGTTCTCTATAGAACCATCAACACTCAAAGAACCATTTGTATGTTAAAGTGTTCTTGAAAGGCACTTTTTTGAAAAAAGTACTATATAACACCGTACACAACACATTTTCCATCAATCTGAAGAACAATTTCACCAGGTAAAGAACTCTTTAAGCATGTAAATGGTTCTATCAAGAACCTATGAAGAACCACCTTTGAGAGTGTACAAAGCTATCAGAATCACCCATTTTAGGGGATTCCGTTGGTTTTGAGTACTTATGCCAGTCTCAATCAGAAGCTGATCAGAGATTGACCACAACTGATTGTGTACCTCTATACTGGTAATACAGGCTTGTAACTGCAACATAAAACACCATCATGGTTAATCAAATAGTTACCAGTAAAATGTATCCAAACCTAATATTTACGATGAAGAGACATTGATTATTTGAAAATAATAAAAATAAGCTACAGAAACAAGAATAGAAACCATTTAATCCAGTTAAGGAATGGTTTAACATGATAATATGTAACACTAAAAGTAATGTTGTCAATGCATTTTTACCACGTGCCAGAGAAAACATTTGGAATACAAGGTCTGGGTGAAAACCTTGACTGTGTTTACATCCTGTCTTGTTATAGGTCTCTCCAAATCCCCTTCACTCCATCCTCAACTTAGTCCGTAAAAGAGAAAACGTGACGGAATCAAGTGGTAAGATACATTTGCTGGGGGTGAAAACAAACAAACAAACACAATGTTCTTCTGCCACAAAATAGATGACATGACACAAAAAAGACTAGCAAAGAAAGATAAAACTGAAGTAGATCTTGGAAGTAATTTTCCAAGATTGAAAGGTCTGTTGCTAGTGAAAAGTTAGATCAGCTATGTTCCTCTTGGACAGCTAGCATGGTCAGTAAAAAAGAGGAAAACTGTTTTAATCAGTGGCTAACGCTGATAAAAATCAGGTTGATATAGCTTTAGCACTGCAAAGTAATGCTGTCATCTTACATTATATAGCCTCAGTTAACAATGCATTCAGGCTAGCTGGCTAACTCTGGTAGAGCTTTGCTAAAATAAGCTGTAAACCTCCAAACATGCATCAGATTTTGTAAATAAATAACATTCTTAGCTATTCGGCCTTACATTATGTATTGAGGAAGAGGTGAAGTATTTGAGTCACCTCTCAAGTAACATCACCTTAGCATAATAAGTAATTTACTAACTGGCTATAGCTAACTAATGAGTAAAGAGTAACATCACAGCTCTCAATCCTGTAATCCTGAGATGCTCCTAAGTTTAGCTGTGTTAGGCTACCTCACTGTTGGAAGCTGATGTAACACTTGCTGACTCTAATTGCAGACCAACTCCACTGGCCACCATAAATTTGGGGGTGGGGTGGTGGTGGGGGATCTTGTGTGTAACAGCAGAGATGGGAGGTGGGGTCTTATTGTACTCCACCCTTATTTCACATAGAATAGCAACAGATATATTTATAAGGAGCTGCAATTTTATCATGTTTATTTTTCCATTTTTTTTTCATTTTGTCTTAAAGTATGCATGATACTGTAGCAAGAGTACTTTAATAAATGTTAAGAAAGTCACCAATGATGTTCACCCTTGACTGGATATTCACTTCTTTGACAAGACGGCAGAAAATTGTCCTACAGTGTGACATGAAGATTTACCCCAAAAAAAATAAAATAAAATAAAATAAAATTTTTACATGAGCAAAATTAATGTGTGGGCAATATTTTATTTATTTAACCATAAATATCATTCACATATTTTTTTTTGAATGATTTTTAGATTTTTTTAGACACATGATAGTGATAATTTAAAAAAACAAATAATGATTTTACTAAATAAATTACATTCATGTCACACCAAAAGACATGATGTCACACAACAGGACACGTGACGAAGTGATAATTTAAAAAAATAGTAATTTTACTAAATAAAATACATTTATGTTACACCATAGGACATAATGTCACACAATAGGTAATAGGTGGTAAAAAATAATTAGCAAATTTATAAAGCAAAAATTTTAAAACAAATCATTTTAATTCCATTGAAACAAAAAGCAGAACCTTCTTGCAGTAGTTAAAAATAAATCACTTTAATTTTATTTTCTTTCTTAATAAAATACAAAAACAAACATTACTGCAGTTAACAAACAAATAATCAGTGTCTTCATCTGCTTCTTTTTTATTATTATTATTATTTTCTAATGTTCCTTTTTTGGCTGGCCTTTTTTACTTAGACTTTTTTATTGACTGAATCATCTCCTGCATGGATGGTTGTCCAGCAGGTTTGTACTGCTTCTCTCGATTTCTCCTCTGGCCTTCTTTTCGTCACCTGTAAAACAATCAAGAATGTGTATTTTACAGAATCTCTTTTGTTTATTTATTTATTTCATAAGTAAGTACATTTTTAAAAGGCTTCACTGTACAGAATGTTTATTTAACTGTCTTTTCCTTTCTTCCTCCTATTATATTCATCTGCATGAATGCTGTCTCTGTGTCTCCTTGTTCTTTCTTTACTGTTTAAACTTCAGTGAACTTTTCTATATAAAGTAGTAACTGCTATGCACACATGACTGGCAGTATACATAATATATCTTCACTGTCCAAAGAAAAACATGTATCTCCAAGACAGTAACTGAACAGGAGGAGGCAGAAACATTCTTGACTTTAAATGTGAGTTGAAGTGAATAGGTTTTATTGTAAGTGGTTTTGGAGCATTTCTGTTGGTCCATTCATCATGAAACTTTCATGCAAGATAAAGAGCAGCTGCTGCGTTCAAATGAAGAAAAAAAAAATCAATAAAAAGATTTTGTACAGCGATGATGTACAAAATTATTACAAATAAAACAGCTCTTTAACATGTCTACATCGATGAATAAGTATAATGATTTTTTTAATTGATGAGCTTTATAACACTTTATACTGTGGGACCATTTTGTGGTTATAAAGTTAATAATGAGCATTTGACCACCAGGGGGTATTCCACAAAGCAGGATTTCTCAGTTTGTCAGACAACTTAAGTCCAAAGTTAAGCCTGTACAATAGGAATGTCCCTCAGCTCTTTTCCTATTGTACAGGCTTAACTTTGGACTTAAGTTATCTAGCTAAACTGAGAAATCCTGGTTTGTGGGCTACCCCCCAGGTCAATTGTTGTAATTAGTAGTTCTTTTTAAATATATTCAAAACATAGATAAAACCTTTAATATTATCAAAATAACTGTTTCTTACAGCAGGAGAGCAAAAACCATCAAACTAAAACCCAACAAGCTGAAACTAAAAAAGAAAAAGGTTAAAACAACAACAACGAAAAACAGCAGCTTACAGTCTTTTTAAGATTGCTCTGGTGTTTATCTGGTATTTACATTATAAATATTTAATCATGTTTAGCAAACAATGTTTACATTACTATTTTGATGCACAATAAATACCAAACTTTTTAAACTACGTACAGTTGCCGACCTGAATTTGGTTCCTGTCATCTTTTAATTTTGACCATAAAATGTGTGGAAAACAGAAAAAGCATTTTCTTTGTAAAATATCAAAATACCAACAAAAATATTACTTCCATGATAGACACCAGTATATGTACATCAGATGTTTGTAAAGCATATTTTAACATGTGGAATCAATGCATCAGTCAGACTTTATTATTATACACCTGTTAAAGAAGTGTAAGCTAATGACTGAAACGAGTTGACAGGATAACAGCTTTCACCATTTACAATCATTTCAATCTTGTTAGTGATTTTTGTCAATAAGTGATGAGTTAAAGGGGAACTCCACTGATTTTTCAAAATATCTACATAATTAAATGGTTAACGTGAACAAAATCATTCAGAGTGGTTTGGTTTGAAATGCTCTGTTCTAGATAAACTTTAGAATTGTTCACTGTGGTGGTGATAGGAACCAGACGTCCACCTCTAAAAGATCCCTCACAGAAAGTTATTACGTGAAATGGTTATAAATACACTGCCTGATGCTTGTTGAGGTACAGTTTTGTGATAGGTTTGCAAAAAGATTTTGGCCTAAAAGGTATGTTTTATTAGTCATTCATGGTGGAGAGGTACATGCTGGGCATTGTGAGGCAGAGTAGTCCCCGAGGACTGTGCCGATGAATTTTGCAAACATTCTGTAACTGTAATTCTGTACAAAACAAACTTCTAGTGAACAAGAGAGTCATGATAATTTGTGCTTTAGCGAAATGGGAAGCAAATTCCATATTTACTGTTTGCTTTGTCCAAGTAAATGAAAGACAATAAAACAATTCCTTTGGAAAAGTTAAATATAATATCACATTTTTCAGTGTTTAGTGTGTCCACGCTTTGACTTTATTACAGTTTCCATTCTTTTCAGGAGACTTTCTTTCAAAGAAATCTGCAGGGATGTTTTTTCACACCTTCAAAGTTCAGTTTTAGAAGTTGTTTTTGCATTTTCTGCTTCTCACAATCCAAATAACCCAAACACACATAATAATATTGAGGTCTGGACTTTTTCTGAGAACACCAGCAGCTTATTTGATTCACAAAATTTCTTCTTTCATGTCTATGTCCTTTTCTCAGTAAGAGCTTCTTGACAGCTACACATCCTTTCAGACCCACAGTATTGAGTTTCTTCTCACAGTGGAAGGATGGACAGAAACACCTGTGTATTTTTTCAGACCTGAAGTAAGAGTGGAGCTTCATTTTCTTCCCTCTCTCAAAGCTTCAGACCTGGTCTAGGTCTTGCATGTTTGTTAGGGGTCCCACTCTCTGGATGTCTGCAAAGAAACTCCAATTTTGGTAATTCATTTATTCTCCTTTGATTTTCCCATTCCTAATGCAAATGGATTATATTATATCTAATTACCCAGTAATACTAGTAGTACCCAGTAGTACTTAGTGGCCACTTTGACTGGTTATTAAATTAATGAAGTGTGTGACTTTTGCACTATAATGCATGTATTATGTTTCATAACACATAGATCCAGAATAGATTTGGTGATTTAAAAATCACCATACACACTCAAGAAGGTTCTTCAAGGGTTCTTCAGTTAAGAAAATGATTCTATATTTAACTATGTACAACACATTCTCCATCAGTCTGAAGAATCATTTCACCAGGCAAAGAACCCTTTAAGCATTCAGGGTTGAAGACCCATCTTTTTTAAGAGTGGAGGATTTTCTTTATATAAGAGTATACTCTTTTATCTAAATGTTTTAAATGTTTTTTTGTTTGTTTTGTTTGTTTTGTTTACACTGACACTGAACATAGAGGCACCACACATACTCTTACGATAAATTACGTGAAACTTAAGAAGTTAATTAGTTTGTTGGTTCCAGTTCACATCCTGGCCCCAAACTCTGGTACAATGATGTAAGCTTCCAGTTTTCTGCTTTGGTTACATTAGAATGATGATGACGATGATGATGATGATGACGATGATGATGATGATTATTATTATTATTATTATTATTATTATGGTTATTATTATTATGGTTATTATTATTATTATTATAACTACTACTGCTATCATGGCTACAAATACTACCAAAATTGAGGTTTAGCTTGAATAGAAATAGCTAAGATTTTCATGTCCTGCTTTAAATCCCAGGTGTTGTAAAGTGGCTGATTCAGAGAGGGTTAGACCACAGCTCTACCGCAATCACCACATATTAACAAACTACACTTCCCTGTCACCACTCAACTCTCCATCTCGACCTTGAGGGCAATGGCTGACGTTTATTTTGTGACTCGAACTGTAAACAAGTGGCTCTTGGTTGTTTGTAACAGCCCTTTTCTTTCTTTAAGATTTCAGATTATTTTTCCTCAGATGAGTCAGTATATCTTTAAAAGTGCACCAATACTAACTTGCTATAGCACTGTTATTCTTTTTCACAGAGTGTAAATATTACTATCTAAATGTGATGATGACTGTTCATATCAATGAGTGCTTACTAAGCATTGTATTATATGTGGCACCTGCTAATACAGATCACGCATCACTGTACACTGTTAGAAATAAAGGTATTGTGCATGTACATTTTTCTTTAAGCAAGATAAAAACAATGTAAATGTACCCTCAAAGGTACACCTACCTTAAATAGGTTTTTCCCAGGTGAAAAGTACATATTTGTACCTGTTCATGGCATAGTGTTTTAAATCAAAACAATAAAATAAAAAGCCTGGAGACGAGAGGGTGTGTGGAATAAAATATAATTTCAATGGATTATTGTACAGTTATTTTCCCTGACTAATAATGAAGGCACCAAAAATGGATCTTTGGAACAAAAAGAACCACTTTTGGTTCCCTGAAGGTGTTTTCATCTTGTAAATGATAAATGAGCTGTGTGAATGAAGAACCTTTTCAGTGTTTAACAAAGGGAAAGGTTCTAAATGTTTTTTTTTCCTCGAAACCCACATCCAAGTCAAGAACCATTTAGAAATCTTTATCTTCAAGAGTGCAGCTGGCAACTGTACACACTTAAAAAGATGGTTCTTCAAGGGCTCTGTAGTGAAGGCAGTACTTCTTTTCAGAACCAGGAGTTCTATATAGAACCATTGTCTGCTTAAATGGTTATTTGCCTGCTGCATTCTTTGATGTGTTGTATATGGTTCTATAGAGAACTCTTTTGAAAATGGTTCTATAAAGCACCAAAATGGTTCTCCTGCTGTTGCAAGCTTGACATCATAACAGCAGAACCCTTTTGTGTGCTGTATAGAACCGTATGCAACACATACATTACCATTTCACCATGCAAAAACCATTTGAACATGAAATGGTTCTATACATATACATAATGGTTCTAAACCCATGGTTCAATAGAGAACTCTTGAAGAACTCTCTTTTTTAAGTATGCACATGAACATTGCTTATTACCACTGACCTCCAGCACCACCAGATACTCCGAAAAGTGAACGCTTTTCTAAGATCATTGACCAAGTCAGCTATAAAGTCAACTTAAGGAATTTAGACCACTAAATTGGGAAAAGTAATGGAAGAATGGAATTCTTTTTTGGAAAATGTGAAAAAAGTGATTCATTCCAGGTCACACATGTTTTGCAAGCTCGGACCAAAACCTTGGGATCCAAATTCTGAGCAAAATACAAGCAGAGCAACAGGAAATAGATCATCTTCTGAAACTCCACAACCTTATACTTAAAATATTAATACGAAAAATATAATTGCTTGAAAACATTCCAACTTCAAGCCGTTTTTGCAAATATGCAACAAACATTTTGGAATTTTGGTGGCTCTCTGGCTCTCTGGCTCTCTGATAGCCACACAATTGGAGCACATATTCTCATTGTCTTGTCCGGCTCTGAGAGAACCTGAATTACTTCAGTCAACAGCCA